CACACACACACTTCATGGAACAATCCACAGGGAGCATCTCTGCACACACACACACCACCACCACCACTTTCTTGGCGGGGCCTGGAGTGCGACGAGTGGACCCAGTGTGCCTGCGTGTGAGTCACAGGGACCAAGAGGGGAAGGGACAGCACAAGACGAAGAAGGGGACACCAGGGGAATCGAGTTGTTCAACTCTGACTGAGAATGGGCTCCTTGATGAGAAAGGGCAGATAGAGCACCTCCCCCCCCAACTCACTCAGCAGAAACCACGTGAAGAGGAGGACCTGCCCAACTTTAAAAAATGAGGGGCTGAGTCAAAGGAAGGGACACTTCCTCTTTCGAGGCTTGCACCATCACTCTGACCCTCGGGGCCCTGCAGGTGTGGGGACGGCAGCTGTCGGCCGCGGCCAGAATCTTCTACAGCATGATGTGTCTGCTTTCAGACTGCACCCCGACCTCACCGTCCCACCCAGTGTTACCAAGCTAAAGACAGAGGCATTTAAGTCCCCTGGAAATCACTGTCCCCGTCGGTGTCTGCACGTGCGCGCGTGCACACACACACACACACAATCTGTGGACAGCTTAAAACAATAACCTGGTAGCTCCTGAGAGGTCGTGTGCTTAACCCCACATCGCCCTGATATAGTCTTATAGTGGATTCTCACTTTTTATAAATAAAATCTTTACGGATTTTTTTGTGAATCAAGTCCTATCACTTAAAAATGCCTGCGAAGGGGCACCTGGGTGGCTCAGCTCAGGTCAGGATCTCAGGGTCCTGGGATCGAGCCCCGCGTCAGGCTCCCTGCTCAGCGGGGAGCCTGCTTCTCCCTTTCCCTCTGCCTCTCCCCCTGCTCGGGCTCTCAAGCTCTCACTCTCTCACATAAATAAATGAAATCTTTAAAAAAAAAAATGCCTGGGGAGTGTTTAATTTAAAGGATCAAACTTTCTCCCGAGAGATAATGGAATAGCTACACACCAGGAAACATTCTGGAAATCTGGTTTTTCGTGAGTGGAGTTTGCTTAAAGAAAGGCCCAAGAGAACTCTGGTTGACGTGAAACAGTCACATAAAGCTACGATGAACTTTGACCTTATTATGTTCCCCTATCCCACCAGATCCAAAATATCAGACATTTCGAAGAAGATGCTTTTTTTTTTTTCTTTCCCTGTGCATTTTAGGACTGCTAGCAGTCAATGTAGTTCCCATAAAAATTCTCTTGGGTATTTTTGGAACTAAAAAGAATGAATAGGATTAACTTATAAATTTGCTAGAAGAAAAAAAATGAATATTCACTCTCAGAAAGAATTTTCAGGTGGCCAGGAAGCAGAGCTGTGATTGGGCAGGCCCGTCCGCAGCTGTGATCTGGGTGGGTGCCTCCCTACACCCCATTTCGGGGGTAGACCCGGCCGGGACGAAGATTGCCACATGCTGACATCCCCCATCCTTAGCCTTCTTCGTAGACCAGATGAGCAAGACCCCAGGAGCAACCTCCTTGCAAGGACACCATTGGTTTTGGGAAGCTCACAGCTAAAGGGAAGGAACTGCAGATACACCCTGGTGTCCTCTCTGGGGGTGACGTGGTGCACCACGAACAGAACCCCAGTGCTTCCTTCTTGTTCATTCATTGCTCAACCCACTCATCCAAACAATATTTCTGAGAACCTAACCTACTCTATGCCAAGGTGATTGTATATTGTATTGAGCAACAGGAATTGCTGTTTTATGGGTGAGAAAACAGGAGTACTGGCGATTTCATACGCGTCAACCTACTGTTTAGAGGGTTTTCTTACACTGGTATTACCAGGTTTTTTTTTCTCTTCAGATGGGATCAAAGAAGGCGTAGAGAGCCCGGTCACCATCTGCTCCGGGAGTCTGGATCTGCCCGATTCCCTTCCAGAAACGGGGAAGACACCAGTTTCCACCATAGGTGTAATGGTGTAATATTTGTTTACTTTACAAAGGAATGAATCCTTGTTTTATTTTAATTTATTTTTTTAAGATTTTATTTATTTATATAGCGAGAGAGGGAACCCAAGCAGGGGGAGTGGGAGAGGGAGAAGCAGGCTTCCCGCCGAGCAGGGAGCCCGATGCGGGGCTCGATCCCAGGACCCTAGGATCATGACCTGAGCCGAAGGCAGACGCTTAACCAACCGAGCCACCCAGGCGCCCCTGAATCCTTGCTTTAGATCAGCTTCTCCCAGACACCCTTTTGTGCAGAGGGGGTCTGGGATATGGCCCATTGGCCACCACTCTGTTCCTACAGCTCCTGGGGCCCTGCTCTGCGGTGTGGATAGGCAGCTGGCCTTAGGAAGGCAACTTAAAACCGCAAGAGAAAGGTGGTCTCATCTGTGCTCTCCTCGTCCACATGCCACTGTACCGAACATTCACTCACATGACAAATCAACACCAACTATGAAATTAAAAGGATTTAAGGACCAGTTATTTTTAACAAACAACTCAAAAAAAAAAAATCTGACATCTTTAAACTCTGGGGCCAAAGGAGATACCCGGCATGACTTCGCTAATTTAATTAAAAGATGCTTTCCCTCTCTTTTATCCAACAAATTTTTGTTAACCAGATTCTCTGAGAACAGGATTTATACCAAATTGCACCGTTTGGGGAATAGCCAAGAATAAGATCAATTGTAAAATATAGAACCAAGATTCTGGGATATTTTTTATGCTACAGATACAGCGCAGCAACTTATTAAATGATTACGTTTACTCAACAGTAGTTACTGGAACGAACTCAGCCGCCAGCAACGAGGCAACCTTTTGGGCCGTGAACAACCAGGTGAACTCTAACCTCTCAACCTCGGTACTGGGGACATCTGGAGCCAAATAATCCTCTGGTGTCTGGGGCGCCACTCTGCGTCCTAGCACAGATAACAGCACCCCCCGCCTCCATCCGCCAGATACCAGCAGCATTCCCCCTGGGTGAGAAGCGCTGGGTCGGACGGATCCCCTCTGATCAAATGCAAACTGAATGATTTGTGAGGGGAAAGAGCAGTGTCCTGGGGAACAATGTATGTCAGCTCTGCCAACCAGCAAGAAGCCTACAGAATGATCGACAGAGAGGGATTGTGGAGAGAGCTCCCACCTTGACAGTGAGTCACTTCCAGCCAAACTCAAGGCTGGAGAAGCAACATTGGCTTACATGGGTGAAGGGGTCCTGGGCAAGAGATGGGACTCGCTGCCTTGATCCTTGCTCCACAAGTGAGGGGCGGGAGGAAGTTGGAGACGGAGATTTCTCCACCCACCTCTTGACCTTTGTATGTCCTGACATCTGTGCCCAGAAGAGCCATCTCTCTTCCCGGATGCATCTGGCCCCTACTGCTTATAGGTCTCAGCTTAAGTATCACTTCCTCCCAGAGGGGTTCTCTGCCCCTCTCCCTGCTGCCGTCCTCCCTGCCCCATCTGCTCTGGGCGTCCTTGCATCCATTCCTCCGGCACAGAACTTAGCACCTGACCACACTCACCCCCCCACGTGTTTACACGGACTGTGGTAGTTTGGTTTCTGCTTGTTCTTCCCATTAGAACACGGACTCCAAGAAGACAGGGACCCTGTCTCTACTGAGAACCCAGTGGGGCACCTCCCCCCCAATTATTTGCTGAGCTGATGAAGGAAATCACTCAACTGAATGGCTCACAATTGGCCTCAAGCGCGGGATCATCATCACAAAGAGTTCCGTCACCGTGTACACTGGTTTGTTTCCGCTAAGATGACCAGACTGGCGTGTGCGGGGCAGAAACGGATGGGGACAGCAGTATGGAAGGCGTGAAAGTTCCCATCCCCACCCACACGTTCTGTTGACTGTTCGACAGACCAAGATTACGATCCATCTTTCGGAACAATGTTTTGTGCCCCGAGTCCCCTCACACACCTTGTCAAGGGGTCAATGACACATGCCGAAAGCCCGAGGAGACAGCCACATCCACTGCGTGGCCGTTCTAGTCTTCAAAACCCATCTTGTAAGGGGCAATCCTCTACTCCTTGATCGAGGCTGGGGGGGGGGGCGGGTAGCAAGGCGAGAGAGAGGGAGGGCCCTTCAGAGAAGACTCAGTGAGGAGCGGAACGGGGTCTGAATCTCCAAGCCCGAGCGTCCTAAGGGACCCGCAGGGCCGCTGGCCCCCTGCTGACATCTAGTCTGCCTGGCCCCCCGTCACCACGGCCAGGTTCCAACACCAAAACACAGAGACATTTCCATCTAACTTTTATATGAAGAATTTAATTATCTATACACGTCACTAATTCAAAAGGGCGTATTACAGTTGTTAAAGCCGCAGGTTTATATATTTATATATCTTACATTCAAATCCATGAAAACACTGAAGGGCGAGGGGAGGAGGCGGAGTGCCGGCCCCTGCGCCCGGGACTGGAGGAGGGCCTCACAACGCACCCCCCAGCACAGGTAGCTGCTCCCGAGGGAGATGTGACTGCAGGTTACAAAGGCATCAGTGGAAACTGGGAGACTGGGCTCGAGGCTTCCCCTACCCGGTCTCCTGTGCTGTCAGCAACGGGCATTTTTATTGAGAGCTTCCAACTAGTGTTTAAAAAAGACACACACGGCTTCAGCTAGCACGCGTCGGACACATACACAGACCAGGAGCTCCGTTTCATTATTAAGCTGCAGACATCCCACAGTCTAGTTAAAAAATGTAAACATTGGAAATTAATCGCAGGGAGGCTTCTATACATTCTTTCTTGTCAAGAAAATGACTTGTTCGAAATAGGTCATTCCATGAAAAGGAACTGCGGTAAAAACTTCACGTAACAGAGACCGAGAAGAGATTGTGGGTATTGTGGATCGTCACCACCGCAACGGTGTCATCTACTGCTTTTATGGTATGAAAACACGCCAAATTAAAAACCCAAAACAGAAAACACCAACTCCACCAGATAAATCTGAGACCGAACAAAAACACAGGTGCTTTCTCACGGGGCTACAGGGTCACTGTGCAAAATCCAATTAATGCAATGTGATTAGCGCATCGTACAAGGTAGTAGCTTTTGCCATGGGGAAGAACTAATTTCTTAGGTACAGGATGTATTATTACATGCTCAGCAAGATACATCTGATACACACAAACAAGCACAAAACACCTTCTGTTTAATTGGGGTCATTCTACACGTCTTTAAAAACAGATATACTGAATTCCTCTGTACGTCTACAGCAGGGGGGAAGCCCAAACTACACAATTTAGTTGGTAACACTGGACAAAATGAAAAAAAAAATACATCAAGTCTCAGATTTATGGACATTTGGAACATTTCTTTAATAGCACATGCAGCATTCCTTGATAGTGGGTCTTTTTGCAAAACGGAAATAGCAAAGGAGTAATTTATTGATTTTTATTAAAAGGCTAAAATATATTTTTTAAAAAAAACACTTTTAAAACTATTGAAAGCACCTGTGTGCAAAGGTGGGGGGACATCAATTTGAGTCACTAGGAAAGCCACAAAAGGACCCACTACCCTGTGTATTTTTTGTAAGGTTCGCTTCTATCTCTGTAAGTAATAGCTTGACATTGTCATCACATGCAACTAAAGTAAAATGAGGTAAACTGCTCTGCAGTGAGTTCTTCTACTCAGAAGGCAGTAGGTGATCATGCTGGAAGTCACATGATCAAGGCTGCATCTCCCATCATCCCTCTGGGCAGTGATATGGGATAGTGGGTCTCTTTGAGGACTTTCAAGCCTGAGGGGGGGATGGACAACATATGATTCCTAGAAAAAGGAGGAAAACAACACATAAGCAAAACAAAACAATGAGCAAAATTCAAGCTAGGAAAATGAGTCAGGCATGTCAACAGCATGGTGCCAAATGATTTAAAAAAAGGAAAAAAAAAAAAAGGAAAAAAGTGGGGAGGGGAGGGAGGGGTCATGCTACAGAAGGAGTGAAAATAAAACAAAACAAAACCAAAAAAACCAAAAACAACCCCACAAGACAAAGTCTTGCATTACAGAAGGTCTTCAAAGAGACTGTCGTGAATGCAGCAATGGTCTGGCTTTCCGCTCTGCAACCAAAGCTCAGCCAAATCGGAGCAATGCCGCGTGTGACCGTGAGAAACCAGAGGGGAGAGGCAGGGCTGCCGCCAGGAGCACTTACATTGCTGGCTTGGGTCCGTGTCCGCCGTCAGCTTCACGTAGTTGGAGGGGAAGAGCCCCACCTGGCCGTTGACTTCTCCTCTCCACCAGTCGGGGTCGTCCTTGTTGAGGACGTTGATGATCTGGCCCTTGCTGAAGGCCAGTTCGTCGTCGTTCTGGGCGCTGTAGTCGTACACGCCGATCACCTGGCACACTGCGGGAGACAGGGCCGGGTGAGGGCCGCGGGGCGCGCACAAGGGGTTGGTGTGGGCTCCCGGCCCCCCCACTCCCGCGCGGGACCGCCGCTCTCCGCGGACGGGACGCGGTTAAGCGGGTCAGCTCTCAGGGGCTTTGCAAAACGTGAGGGCATAAAAACCAAGGCGACAGCAGAATCTCACACTAACTCTGTAGCTGGCGTGATACCTTCCTCTTTCTCGTGTTTACACGGCAGCACAAAATCTCCGCTGATGACTGAATGCGTTCGGAACCGCTTCTGAGAGAGCGGAGGGACGCGCCCCTGGAATGCTGACCGCACAGGACGGCGGTGCATCCTGGGGACTCAACCACACTGCTCTGTCTCCTTCTTTCTCCCCTCCCCCCACCTTTTTTTAAAAAGTGGGAGGTAATTAATCAGCTGACCCGCCCCCCCCAAAATCCAAATCTTACTGAAAAGCAGAATCAGTGTTTTCTTCTGCTACGATCTTTGTGGCTCAAAATCTGGTCTCAAAGGAAGAAATCGCCCCGCTCATGAACGATTCTTCCTCTTCTCGCTTTCCCTCAAACCTGTGGGAGGTTGAACTGCTTTTGTTTCCCGGCCTGAGCACACTTTCCAGAAGTCCGCACAGTTAGGTTGGGCCGCTCATTAATCTTCCTCAACCAGGCTATCTACGGGTTTAGGTTCTGCAAGTTAACTGAATCGCTTTGGCAAATTATTTCTTTGGGTTTCAACCAACCTGATGAAGGGGCTCCCGCCAGGCCTCCCCGAGGGAGAGGGGGTCCAGCTGGCCCCACCCCCTCCGCCCACGGCAGGCCACAGCGCAGGCAGAGAGGCCCAGCTGGGGCTGGGAACAGTCCCACTTTGCCAATCCCTGCATTTCTTGCGAAGGCTGCCAAGTTTTCATCGTATTTCACTGGGCATGAATAGCACAGACACAACCGAAAATTCTGCATTTTCCAGAAATGCCACCCAAGGACTGGTGGCTTGAAGACCTGAGGGCAGATTCCTGCTCCCCTAACCTCGCCCATCTCAAATATTACCAAAGCATCTAATTTGGTCTCCTCGGTCAGAAAATAGCCAACAGGCTCAGCCGCGGGGCCCTCTGTTCTTTTGAGTCCTTTAGGGGAACGTGTGCAACATCCTGTCCATTAAGCGAAGCCCCCTCTGTTCACAGGAAATGTCACGGGGCAGTTATTTTAGTCTTCAGTGAGCAGCACATTACAACCAACAGACCCCCGTGGCCTCCAGCTCCATCTCCTGACCTATTTAGACCCCAGCCATTTATATTTAGTAGTCCCTTTTTGTCCCCTCACCCCCTAGCCCAAATCCCAATTTAAATAGCTGGAAGGAAATCAAGAAAAAAATCTGGCTTTAATGCCATAGCATTCATGACTCCTTTAAGGAAGAGAGTTCCAACAAGGGCTCTGTTGTACCCAGAACAGCAAAGCTGCTTAGATACTTGGTCCTTTTGAAAAACATATTCCATATCACATTAGTCGGGGATCGGTCCCAGCAAGTACAAGAAGTGTTTCCAGCAGATGCGAGAACCACTCTGAGACACTCCATGAGGAAACCAAGTGGAGGGACTACAGTGACCCGCGGACCATTTTCCAAGGAGAGATCGTATGCTGCCTACCTGCTGGGAACGCCGTCGGCTTCGGGGGCTCTGTTGGAGTGATTTTGCTTGTCCCGGGGCTTAAAAGTTTTACGTAATTAGCGGGGAACCAGCCTATCTGGCGCTTCTTCCCACGTGCCTAGTAAGACAACAATGACATCAAAATGCTTAAAAGGGTCATGATCGTTCAGGAGACAGCCTACTTTGCAACAGACAGCACCTATAGGTTTACGTAAAACTGCAAACCATCTGGTATGAACAGCAGAATCTCTGAGTTCCTGTATTTCACAACGAAAACACTGCAGCTAAAATTCAAACCGAGGCAGTCATTGGAATGAGTCTGCAGGGGCTGGGCTGGGTGGATCCCAATTTGGTGGCACGTATGTCCAGCAGAGAGCGCCCACTCACGTGGCGCTGGCTCTCGCATGTGACTTTCAGGGGATGCAGAAATGACAGCGAATGCCAACATTACGTATGGATTTGAGGATAATAGTGACGATGCTGATAATAAAATACTATTAATAATAGCAGGTAACACTTCTCGGGTGCTTTTGATGAGTTAGGGCCTGCGCTGAGCATCCCACGTGCATTTACCTGCACACTTATGGAGGGAGAATACTATGACTATTCCCGTTTCCCAGATCAAGAAAGTGAGGCCCAGAAGGTCCAGTGACCGCTTCCGGGTCACAAGCCAATTAGTGGTAAGCCAAGAGTCACACTCACGTCTGCGCTCTTCTTATGGGTAACACGAGATGCCATGCATGTAGCATATACAGGACATGGGGGGTCTAAACCTGACCTTGTTTTCAAGGGGGGTGAGCTGAGACCTGCGATTCTATGAGGTGGAAGGGTCTAGCTGGGAATCATGGGAAGCGCTACGAGCAGCCAACTATGCCAACGGGAGAAGTCAAATGGTTCATACATGCATGCGCACACACACACACACACACAGTAGTTCCAGAAGCAAGACTCTGGTAAAAACAGTTGCCTTTGGGACGCCTGGGTGGCTCAGTCGTTAAGCCTCTGCCTTCAGCTCAGGTCATGATTCCAGGGTCCTGGCACTGAGCCCCGCATTGGGCTCCTTGCTCCGCGGGAAGCCTGCTTCTCCCTCTCCCACTCCCCCTGCTTGTGTTCCC